CAGAGAGGGAGGCGAGGGGGAGAGGCGGGGGGAGGACCGAAGGAGGAGAAGATGCGGCGGCGGATCATGCAGAGGGCCGCCACTAGCAGCTGAGGGGAGGGGAGGGCGGCACAGGAGGGGGGGGGTGCACAGGGTGGGGAGAGGTTGGGAAGAACGGATGGAGAGGGGTTAGGGGGAGCTACTAGCAGAGGGGAGGGTTGATCCGTGTCGGGAGGAGCAAAGGGGAGGGGCAAGGAACGAGGGCAAGGAACGAGGGCAAGGAACGAGGGGCAAGGAACGAGGGGCACAGGAACGAGGGGCACAGGAACGAGGGGCACAGGAAGAGGGGCACAGGAGGCAGAGGGGGAGCGACAGAGGAGAGGGAGGCAAGGGAAAGAAAGATGTGAACGTGTTAAGGGTGTGCAGAGAGGGATGGCAGTGTGCGACTGCATGTGTGTGCGACTGCAGCAGGTAGTCAAGGTCGAAGGACCAGAGCAGTGCGACTGCAGCTTCTCCACTGACTTGCCCTGCTCGCACGCACACACACACGCACACACACAAACCACGCACAACACAAACACACACAAACACGCACACACACAAACACACGCACACACACAAACACACGCACAACGGGGGCCACACACGACGGCATACGCACGCACACACAGACAGGGGGGGGGGGTGCAGGGGGAGAAAGGACAGAAGGGGCAGACAGAGCAGAAAGACGAGATGCAGTTTGACGGCAGTTGTGTTGCCGGCACCTTGTGGTGCAGGCTGAGGGTCAAAGTGAAGGGTAGACGGGGTGAGTGTAGTGAATAGCTGCGACAGGAGACTTGGACTTGCGAGACTAGAAGGTACCTGCGCCACCATGTCCTGCAGCTTGTTCCACTCGCCGTACTCCTGAATGCTGCACACCGGGATATGAAAAAGCGGGAATATGAGGGCACGGGATATGAGGGCATGGTATGTGTGGGCATGGGATATGTGTGGGCATGAGATATGTGTGGCATGAGATATGTGAGCATGGGATATGCGGCAACATGGGCACGGGATATGGAAAGCAGGGATGGAGGGGGGCCGAGGAGTGGGAGGAAACAGGAGGCAGTGAGATGGTTCAGTAGTGCGCTGCAGAAGTGGATTTAGATGACAGCGCTGCGCACGCAGGTGCATGTGCACGCGTATGCGTATGGGTACATAGACATGCATGTGCATGTGCATGTGCATGGATGGCATGGGCCTGTGTGAGCGTGAGTGAGCATGAGTGAGCATGAGTGAGCATGAGTGAGCATGGTGAGCATGAGTGAGCATGAGTGAGCATGAGTGAGCATGAGTGAGCATGATCACCGGTGGTGCAGCTGCTGTATGGCTTCCATCTCTCTTGAGCCGCTCGGTGGCCTCCGCTTGCTCCTTCATGAACTGCCATGCCATGCACGCAACCATGCAACACATGCCATGTGGCAGATGCGGTAGGAGCAATGAGTCCCTCGAGCTGAAACTACTGCATGGAAGCGCTGCTCTGGAGCAACACGTGGACGAAGACAACAAAGGGGACGCACAGTAGCCACACGCCCGATTCGCCATGCAGCAATCCCCCTTTGACTTCCCAGGCGGGCCCTCCTACTTGATGCCAGCACCCCTAAAACCCCCTTCTTCCCCATTGCAAACGTCCAGCTCAGCCCCCCTAATGCCCAGGCCATCGGTTCTCACTCACTTGATGAGCGCGTCTGCCTCGGTGGGCGAGACGGCGAAGTCGAGAGGTCGGAGTCGGGGCAGTGCAGCAGCGGGAAGAGGTCGCCCAGCGTGTGCAGCGTGCACTGCGGCCACTTCCGCCCCAGCACCGCCACGCGCGCCGCCACGCGCTGCAGCTCCAACAGCTTCTCCACGCCTGGGATAGAGGAGGGGGGGAGGAAAGGGTAGGGGAATGTGGGGGGGGATGGAGGGATGGCGTTATGTTACGCGACTCAAGTGCCCAGCAGCGCCACGTGCGCCGCCATGCGCTGCAGGTCCGCTGCGGGACAGCGGCAAGTGGGAGACATGGGAGTTTGGAGACGAGAGGGGGAGAGCGGGGAGCGGGAACAGAAAGTGGAGAGGAAAGGGGGTGGAGACCATATGGTTTGGAAATGGCATGGGATGGCATGGTATGGTATGGTATGGTGTGATATGGACCATATGCTCTGTATAAGGCATGCATGGCGTGGCATACCTGCGAGGTTCCATAGCAGTCTGAGGTCGCTGGAGACGAGGGTGACGACGCCAGGTGCCTGCAACGCGACATGCACACACGCACACGTGGGGGAGGAGCACGCGGGTGAATGGTGGGCACACGGGTTGAAGGTCAACCGGGTCTGACGGGGAGGAGGAGAGAAAGGAGAGAGAGAAGAATGGACAGAGAGGTGAGGGAGGGGAGAGACGAGAGAGGACAGAGAGACGAGAGGAATGCACGTGCTTGGAAATCCGTGCTTCACCTGGAGGTTGGATCGCAGGGAGGCGAGGGTCTTCTCCCCCATGGAGTCGTATATCTCTAACGACCGTCTCATCACACTCCCTATCTCGAACGCCAATACTTCCGTCTTCACGCTCCCCCCCCCGCCTCCCCCTCCTCCTCCTCCACTCCCCAGGCTCCCCCCACCCCCGCCTCCCACGCCCCAGAACCCCTTAAAGCCGCCCCCGGGATTCGGCGGGAACATTCTTTTGACCATCTTTTTCAGCTGCCCGTCGCCTAGACCTATCAGGGACGGCGAGCCTAGTCGCAGGGGGGACGACTCCTGAAGCCCGAACGACCATTTTCCGGAATCTCCTCCGCCCCCTCCCGCTGCCTTGCTTCCCCCGCGCCCGGGGCTCATTAGGCCCCCCCCAGGCATGCGCCAGCCGGGGCTGGAGGGCGCGGGGAGCGGAGTGCCGATGCGCCTACTGTTGCTGCTGTTGCTGCTGTTGCTGCTGGTGCTGTGTTTACTGCTTCCGCCGCTGCCACCGTTGCTGTTACTATGCGAACCAGATGCAGGGGAGGAGGACGAGGAGGTAACGGTGCTTCGGTGCCGTTGTTTCTGGTCGCTAAGCGGGGGAATGCCACTCCGCGCACTACTGCTTCCACCGCCGCTTTCCCCCTCCGCCTCATCCGCTCCCCCCCCGCCCGGAGACTCTCCGCCATCCGCCTCGTGCGCGGAGCCCCGCGGGCGGCGCTGGCGACTGGGGTGAGGAGCTGGTTGATGTTCCTGTACATGGTTGGGGGGTCTTGCGCGCTTGTGATAGTAACGCGCGTGTCATGCAAACGCGCTTTGGTGGGTTTACAGAGGGTAAAGGAAATGAGCGGAGGACAGGCGTAGCGGCAGCTAGTCAACCAATACGAGAACTTCCGAGGAAACAACGAAGGAACGTCGACGATGACGATGACGATGACGATGACGATGACGTCGACCAGTTTACGAGCGAGGTGATCGACGCATGGCTGCACTAGCGAAGCTGCAGAAAATGGGAGAAGCAGCTACTACGAGCAAGGTAGGATGGTAAGGCAGGGAGGTGGTGACGTCAGATGGTGACGTCAGACGGTGACGTCAGAGACGAGGAACGGTGGTTTGAGCATTGTAACGCCGTTTACACAGAGAGAGAGAGAGAGAGCTCAAGCGAAGCTCTTTCCGCAACGACCGGCGAGATCTATGGAGTGGCATTGACGGCCATGGGAGGTCTACGCCGTCCATCACAATGTTCACTAGCGTCCTTCCGGGAAACGACGATAAGCCGGAGGTAGTTCATAAGATGCTGCAAACGAGGCTTTCGGCTGCGTCGATTTCGGAGGATAAGCGGGAGAAACGGAGTCGAGCAGGTATTCGTCGTACGGCGGGGACTGAGAAGTAAAGCCGCATTGTACAAATGTGCTCTTTAATCGGCGACTCCCGAACTTGCCGCTGAAAGCACAAGCGACGGAGATAAGCTTCGTACACAAAATCTAGACTGTTGGGAAACTCGCAAACCCCTAAGCGAAATGCACGATACTGCTGCACGATCCCTACGCTTCACGCTTTACGTTGCGGTCACAAGCAGAGAGCGTTATCCTAGCGCGAACCGTAAGCTAGCGAGTGACCTCAGTCATGTAGGCGAGGGAAGACGACGAGAAAGTGCCAGATTCGTGACGGATGGAATGGCGGCTGAGAAGGACTGTGGGTGGGAAGCTGCAGGACGGGACGAAGGGCGGTCCCAGTTGGGAAGGAAGGACTAGTCACACACGAACGAACGACTCACTCACTGGTGACCAGAGGTGGCGTCAGTGAGGACGCGCTACCATAAGCGATTTCAGACGCATCGGTGTTTATTATCGAGATTCAATATCGATTTTTGACAAAGGCATCCGAATCGATATTGCACACCGATTTTACAGATCAACTTTGGAGTCAGTCACAGTACCGCGCAACCGATACGCCCGGTCCCCACACATTGACGGTGCTTTGGCAGCCAGCAATAGCCGACATCATATGATGTTCGCAAAATATAGGGCAACCCAGATTGACGTTCGCGAATGTCAACCATGCCCCGAGCACCCCAGTTTCTTCGCGACGTGGGTTCGTTTCGAAACATGTGGCGCCTCCTGAACTCCCGTTTTGTCGCAGAATTTGCCAGATCCATGATTGGAACTTCTGCTGTGTGCCTGCGGGCTGGTCAATCGACAGTCGATGGGCTTGGCCGATGTGGCACATCGATCCCCAAAATCGATCAGCCTCGTTAACCATGTCTTGTTTTTTACTGTATTCAGGTTACCAGGTGGCTACCCAATAAATATCGATATTCAGACGCACCGAGGTAACACATCCTGAGAGACGAGGCGGAGGAGTGGCCTGGTTGGGGAAGGGGAGAGGGACTTGGAATGGGACGGGGCCCTCGCCTGGGCTGGGAAGGTTGGGGAGGAGGGGAGAAGTGCCAGCCAGCTGCCAGAGGGGCTCGCCCTCTCCCCCAAGGGAGGGAGCCAGGGGACAGGATGAAGGGCGATTGTCAACAGAGCTGAAATTTGAGGCGGTGCAACGGACGTCCACCGTACGCCACGCTCAAAACCCGAACCAATCGGTTACTGCTGCCCAATTGCTATTTTTTACTGGCGGTATGTATTTTGTTTAAAAAAGCTCACCTTGCGTTTTGTATAGTGCATTTATTGACCAGAGACTGAAACGTGGAGGCAAAGAGTAAAAATGGGCACCCCATACCTGCTACATAGTTACGTATGTTACCATGGAACTCCACTTCGAGCCCATTTGTGGGTGGCGAAGCCATGCGAATTCTGATTCGTATTTTGGCTTACGCGATTTGCGGAAGTATTGTGCGTAAGGTGACAAATGATTGTATTGTACAGCAGTACCGTACGGTAGTGTGTGGGTGGTGGGCTGGCTCTTGGAATGAGTTGAAACGATCCCGAACAGACTGGCAGCACTGGATCGTACAGCCACAAGGTCGGCTGCACTTCACTGTTCATTACTCCACAAACCAGAACGGGGAGGATGCTCACAGTGCAGTTACAGTGGCAGCATTGAGCGGCAAGCAACATTCCTGATGTGTACAGTTTGGCCCAATCGCAAAGTGTGCGTTCGTACGGTACGAGGGGTGTGCTTGGTGAAGCTGCTGCTGCTGCTGCTGGCCCCAAAAGGTCCACCACGGCGACGCTATTTCCACCAGTGCACCCTGAAAGCAATCTCCTCTGGAGCAGCTAAATGTTGTTGAGTTCCGTTACGTACACACCGTGAAAACACGGGCAGGGAAGGAACACAAAAGCGCCAACGGGGCGAATGGCACCAACATCTGCAGCGAAACATCTGCTACCCAGCGTGTCAAGGACACCGGGTAGGTATTGAAACTTGTGTCAGGTACAGTTCAGCCCTGAGTTCCGTTCCGAGCCGAGCACATACGACAGAATCAGGTAGGTTTATGACCCAAATTTTTGTGTCAGGTACAGTTCAGCCCCGAGTTCCGAGCCAAGCACATGACGACAGAATCAGGTTGGTTTATGACCCCAATTTGTTCATAATCCTTCGGCTGGAGTGTACCTGCTTGTACTACATATGGAAAGCAGACACGAGGTTAGGATCTACAACAAATGTTCACTATTGCTAGTGCCGCAACCTTTGCTATTCATGTGGTTTGGAAACTCCAGTCTAGTGCGCAGCACGAGGAGGATAAGCAGGGGAAGAAACACCGGAGCTTGCAGCAGGGGTAGACGTGTCAATCTGCACGGTGTACTGAGGATTGCTTTTCAGCTGCTGCTTGACTTTATCCAGCACCGTAAACGACCGCCGCTGGGCTCCTCTCACCAGATTCAGCAGCTCCTGAGCCTGGATGGGGTGTTGTTGAGACAGACAAACAAGTAGAGGATACAGGGCAAAACGTTACAGTACATCAGAACCAAGGAAGCATCGCAGGATGCGGGAGACACAAACAGACAAACCGTCCTCCACTCCACTCTTCCCTTCCAGACGCCCACCTTAGTCCGAGCTCGGCTGCTCTGCCCCACCCCATCCACAACCTCTATCAGAGCCGGCAGCACTGCTTCTGCCACAATAGCCCTCAACCACTCCGCTTCTGCCTTTGCCAGCAGCAGCAGCGCTGCCCCGGCATTCTCCCTGCCCAGCATAGTCCCATCCTCCAGCACTCTCCCGAGCACCGCAATTCCTCCGCTCTCCACAATAGCCTCTTGCCCTTCCCGCACGGACGCCAGTGATGAGAGCAGCAGCACGCAGTCATCTGCTAGCATGGACTTCGAATCTTGCTCCCGCACCACCGAGAGCAGGCACGGAACAGCGCCTGCGGACACTATCAGGGCCTTGTTCGGGCGGTAGACGGAGAGGTAGTAGAGGACGCGGAGGGAGATGCTGTGAGGAGGGAGGGGATGCGGCGGGGCAGGGGAGACGTGGAAGGAGAAGGAAGGGAGACGAGGGGAGTGCGGGGCACGTGGAGGCGAAGAGGCGGACGAGAGGGGGGGATGGCGCCCAGGCGCCCGATCTCCTTCTTCATGTCGTCGCTCTTTGCCAGGCTGAAGAGAATGGCCGCTGCGTGCTCCTGGATGGCGAAGCATGTCTCGTTGCCACACTGCCGTAGCTGCTGCTGCCGGTGCCGCTGGCAAGCACCCCGAGGGATGCTTGCATTGCGCTGGCAAGGCGAGGGGGTGGGGTGCTTCCAGAGGAGCTCGAACAACGAGCAGCAGCAGCAGCAGCAGGAGGAGCAGGAGCACTAGCACTAGTGTCACTGTGTGGAGCAGCACTAGCATCAGCATCATGATCCCCAGCAGAAGCAGCAGCATTTACAGCAGCGGAGGGACCAGCAGTGCTGCCTTGATTCTGGTCCTTGAGGACCCTCGTGCCGGCCCCACTGGGAGGAGGTGGCCTCTTGCTGCTGCTGTCGCCGCTGCTGCTCCTGCTGTTCCTGCTGTTGCTGCTGTTGTTGTTCCGTACCTCCAACACCACACCCCCCATCCCACCCGGAGCATCACCACGCCCAGCAGCATCAAATCCAGCAGCTTCGCCACCACCTGTCCCTAGCACCGCCACCACCACCACCACCAGCACCACCAGCGCCACCAGCGCCACCTGTGCTTGCAGCTCCGGCTGCAGAAAGACTCCAAACGGCCTCCCCATGAGAAGAACCCTCCTCCTGTGCTCACCTCTCCTCCCCGCACTCCCACTGTCCCTCTCACTGCCCTGGCCTGCTCGTATCCTCCCGCATGTCCCCTCCCCCTGCTTCCACCAGAGCATCTATGACCGGCCCCACTGCGCCTACTGCTTGCAGAAGCTTCCGGCTCACATCCTCGATTGCCAGGTTCCTGACGGCGGCTGCTGCGCTTTCCACTAGCGCTGGGTGCCGCGGGCTTTTAGCAGAGCGAGCAGCGGCGGGATTCCGCCGGCCACTGTGATGTGCTCGCGCCACCGGCGCTGCGCTTAGCTAAGTGTCGGATAACCTCTGCAGCAGCGAGGATCCCCACAGGGTCTCCCTTAAGCATCTCACTCTTTAAGAGTTCGACAGGGTCCATTGCTGCCCCTGCTCGCTCTCTCAGAGATCCCTCCACTGCTGCTGCGGCAGCTGCTGCAGCAGTGGTGGCGGCTATTGCAGCAGTTGCTGTTGATGCAGTTGCTGCTGTGGGGGCTGGAGAGGAGGATGGGAGGAAGAGGAGGATGAGGGTGCCGATGAAGGCGATGCACAAGATATAAATACCCCCTGTCGTGGCTCTTGCTCCTGCCAATCATGCACTGCTGCTGCTGCTGCTGCTGCTGCTGCTGCTGCTGCTGCTGGTGATGCTGCTGGTGATGAAGCTGCTGCTGCTGCTGCCCCTCCAGCTGCTGGGGTGCTTCTTCGTCCCCGCCCTGGGCCTTGCGGAGAGGGATGACGAGGAGGACGAGGACACAGAGGAAGGTGAGGACAGCGACGACGAGAACGATGCATCACCGTCTCCTCCTGCTCCCGCCGCTCCTAATGCTCCTCCTGCTCCCCTGCTCCTGATGTCATCATGCCCATTCCCCTGCTGCTGCTGCTGCTGCTGCTGTGGAAACATTCCTCCGAACACCCCACCTCCTTCTTCCCCATCTCTCCACCCGTCTCCCCGCCTACTCCCTTCAAATCCACCCCCCCCCTGGAATGAAAATGCTTCCGCCACCCGTCCCTTCTCCTTCCCCCACATCTTGCCCCACACGCTCACCCTCTCCGCCTTCCCCTCCCGCATCACCCTCGCGCTCCTGCCCCTTCCCACTCGTGCTGGTGAATAAACACAGGCCCCAGGTTGCCCCTGACCGCCCTCTCTCCTAGCCCATCAAATCCCTCTGCTGTACTACCGGGCACCAGCGCCCTGTATGGCAGTGCCAGCCGAGCCACAGACCCAGGAGGGAACTCAGACGCCGGGGAAGAGTCAGTGGGAGCAGATGGGTGGAGAGGTGACGGTATAGGGAAGGGCTGGTGGTGGGAAGGTGAGGGTTGGAGTGGAGGAGGAGGAGGAGAGGTGGGAGGAAGGTTGGGAGAGCAGGGTATTGGTCAGGATCAGAGTGGTCGAAAGACGAAAGGAGGTCGGGGGAGAGGGAGAGAGGAACTGGGGTAGCGGTGAAGGTAGGAGAGGTGATGGTGATGGTCCTGGTGGTCGTCGTGGTGGTGGAGGTGGTGGTGTTGCCATAATGCAAATGGCATCTGACTCAAGTGCATTATGCCTTGGAACGTCCGTGTGTGGCGGGCCATAGCCAGACAGTAGAGAAACAGGCATGCTGGGATCTAATGGATCAGAGCCCGGGTTGCAGTGGATGGAGTGCAGCCGGGCTTGGGGTTATCAGTGGCGGGGTAGTGTCTGGTAGTCACCTTCGTATTGGGGCTGGAGCGAGGGAGAATTTGTGAGCACTAGGCGGGCGTAGGGGAGGGAGGCGGGAACTAGGAGGGGAGGAGGGGGAGGAGGAGGAGGAGGACGGGGAAATGCGGCAAAGGACGCGGAGGGGGGGGGGATGAGGAGGAGAGGAGCGTGGGAAGCGGGAGGAAGGGTTTGGGGCAAGGGAGGGGGTGGGGGGGAAGCAATGTGTGAGGAACGTGCAGGGAGAGAGGGCAGTTGGTGAGAGGAGTGAGGAGCCGAGAGAGTGGGGGCGTTGGATGGTGAAGAGACAGGCAAAGCAGCACTAGCAGCTGCAGCCGTAATAGCTGCTGCTGCTGCTGCTGCTGCGGGTGCTGCTGCAGTAGGCGCTGTGGGCATAACAGCAACAGGTGGGGCGCAGGCGCAGGTGCGACCATGAAAGCAGCAACGGAGGCTGCAAAGACAGCAGGGGTGGGCACCCACTGGAGCTCAGCCACAGGCGTGGGCACGTGAGCAGCAGCAGTGGCAATGTTGGCACTCATATGCCGTGCATGCCCTCTCCTTAGTCCCTCCTTGCTCTCCTTGCTTTCTCTGCTCGCCCTTTCTCGCTGCATCACCTTCCCTGCACTACTGTACCTCCTCTCTTTCCTCGCCTTACTCCGCCCCTTCTCCTCCCTCTCGTCTCCCTCTCCTCCCTTCCCCTCTCTCACGCCCTGCATTTCCATCTCTCCCCCCTCTTTCGCCCTCTCCTCCTCTCCTCTCTCTGCTTTCTCGTCGCTCCCCTCTCGCCCGCTCTTCTCTCGCCCGTCCACGCCCATCCCACTCTCGTCTCAGCCCCTCATCTCCTCTCTCTTCTCCTCTCTCGTCTCCTCTCGCGTCTCGTCCGACCCTCTCCTCCTCACTCTTTTCTCAAATTCCTTTTCTCTACTCTGTCTCCTCTCTTCCCTTACCCTGCCTGTACTTCCTCCCCGCGTACCCCCTCCTCGTTCTCTGCTTCTCCCCTCCCCCGAACGCCATCTCCCCCATTCACAACCCTATAACTGGAATCTTCATGACTGCGAATTCTTCTAGCAGGCATAGGCCCCCCTTTCCCCTTCTCTTCCCCTTTCCTGCCTGGCAAAATCGTCCCCTCCTGATCCCTCTCCCCTCCCCTCCCCCTCCTCCCTCCTTACCGCCTCCCCTCTCTCCTTCCCTTACACTATCCTTCTTTCCCTCTGCTCGATCTGCTCCCGCTGCAAACGGAGCCCCTTTCCCTACCGCAACTCTTATCTCCGCTAAGAACTGCCTCGCTAGCTCGCTTGTAACCCGCGGCTCCGCCTTCCCTTGTGCCTGCTGTGCTTTTTTCCCTTTGCTCTCTGCTCTGCTCACTCCCGCTCCTACGTGTGCATCGCTTATCCTATTCCCTCTCTCCTGCTGCTGCTGCTGCTGCTGCTGCAAATTCGTCTGCTCCTGCACCTGTCCTCGCTCTACCTCCTGCTGTTTCCGTGCTCCGTTGTGCAGTGCAGCGTGCATGGCTGCAGCAGCCAGCGCATCTGGCCAACCCGCCCACTGCCACCCGCCCCTCCTGCCAACACCCTTCTCCACTGCACCTCCCCCAACCCCCACCTTAAGACCTCCTTCCCCATATCCTCTACTTCCGCCTTCCTCTATCCCACCCCTTCCGCTCCCATTCCGCTCCCCCTTCCGCTCCCTTCCGCTCCCCTTCTGCTCCGCCTTCCCCTCCGCCTTCCCTCCGCCTCTTTCCTTCCGCCCCTACCTGGCGCAGCAGCACCACTGCCCCATTGGATTCCGAGTCCCTCATTCCCCATGCCATCCGCTGGCCGCACACCACCTTCGCTCCTCGTCTCTCCTGCCCTTGCCTATCCCCGCGCTCACCCCCGTTTCATAAACACCCTCGCCCAACCTCTTCAGTGTGGCTCCTCTCTGCTGCTGCTGCGCTGCTGCTGGCGCATTTGCAGGTGCCAGTTGCGTCCGATCTGAGCAGTAGCAGCGTCTGAAGGTGCAGGCGAGGAAGAGAATGGCTGGGCCTGCGACCCAGCAGACAAAGGGCGGAGCCACGTGCCCCACATGCTGCCTCCCCTGGTAGCCGCACTCACAGCACTCAGCCCACTGGCAAACACAGCAGCCAAGGAGGAGGGCCCTCCGATGGGGCTGCTGCTGGCAGGCCCGGGAGCAGCAGCAGCAGCAGCAGCAGGAGGAGGAGGAGGAGGGGAGGAGGAGGAAGAGGCGCGGAAATGGAATAATTCAGCAGAATCAGCAGCACCATCATCGCCACGGCCATAGCCAGCCAGGCACAGTTGACAGCACCAGCTGCTCCTGCTTCTTCTTCCTCCCCTCCTCCTCCTCCTCCCTCCTCTTCCTCTCCTCCCCTACCACTCTTCCCACGTTCTCCACAGCTTCCTCCCTCTCCCCTCGCCTTGCTCCCAGCCACGCCGCGAGCCCTTGCCCACACGCCTTTCCATGCCCGTGCCCATAGTCCAACGCTATACCCAAGCCCAAGTCCTTGCCCTTGCCCTTGCCCTTGCCCTTGCACGTACCCATATCCATCCCAGGGCCCGACCCGTGACCGCATATCCTGCTGCCCCCATGCCCGACGCTTCTCCCATCCACATCCTGCCCCCATACCATACCCATACCCATACCCATACCCATACTCATACTCATACCCATACCCATACCCACATTCATACCCATATCCCTACCCATGCTCCCCATGCCATGCCCCCCATGCCTATGCCTGCCGCGGCCATTGTGCCAGCGCGCGTCAGCGTAGCTACCCCCCTCCGACTCGGTCATAGACCCCGGCTCACCCCCCCGGGGCCCAGGCACAGGCTGCGACTGCCCGCTGATGACGTGGACACGAACGATTGGCAGGCCGGCACGCCGCCCTCTGCGTCCTCGTCCTCGCCTGGCCCTCCATCACACACTAAGTCGGTACCAGGCCTCCTCCTCCTCCTCCTCCTCTTCTTCTTCCTCCTCCTCTGCTTCCTCTTCTTGTTCGTCTTCCGTCTCCCCCTCCCCTTCCGCCACCTCCTCTGCCCGCTCTCTCCCTCTCGCTCCACTACTTCGCCGGTCACCCCTGTCCCTTCCAGCAGCCCTTCATTCCTTTGACCCAGCTTTTCTCCTCCATCGTTCCGACCCTCGCCGCCCTCATGACCCCTCGTTCGGCCATCCCACCTCCCTTCATTTCCTGGCCTTCGTTCCCTCCTCTCCTCGCCCTTACTATTTCTGTCTCGCGTGCTTCTACTTCTGCTGCTGCCTGCTTCTGCGGCGGCTGCTGTTTATGGCGCTGCTACTGAAGCCTCGGAAAGCTTCCGCGGCTACTGGCCAGGGTGCATTGACGCGTGAGCGAGTGTCGCCACCGCCGACGGAGTGAAGTTTACCAAAGTAGAGTTTCTTAAATCCAGAGTGTTACTCGGAACGAGGTTCGGGGCTACATACGATCCTCCCGAAAGTCCCCCGTCTCTCCTTAAGCCTAAAAGAACCCGGCATGCTGTCGCTGCCATCGACGCCGTTCTTGGACGCTGGTGGAGACTATTGCGGGCTGTGTGCTGAGTCGCACGGAAGTCGCACTGAGTCGAACTGATTCGCGGAGAATTTTCTAATTTCCGCGCGAACGGAGATGCTTCATACGCGCGACGGCTTCGACTCGACGATGCTTCGCTCGTGCGATGCCGCACACGCTTGGCAAAGCGGCTGGAGGTCAGGAACCCTTCGGAAGGCCTTCGAAAAAAGAAAAAAAAAGCATTCAATAATCAAACAAAGATAAATAACGAAGCACGGGGTTGTCTGGCAAGGAAAGAGGGAGGAATGCTGTGCAGCGGATGTGCTCGGAAACCGGAGGACGTGCACGGGACGTGTGAAAGACATATCTGGGCAATCTTGTGTTATCTTGGGGACTCGCTGTTTCAACAAGTCCAGCGCAGGCTTGACCACCCAGTGGAATTGTTGAGAGAGGTGCACTGGAGAAGAGAGTTGCGGCCATTTCAAGGCCACCAGATTACATGTAGCAGCCTTGTTGGAGTACAGTGCATGTATACATTTTCAAAAAAAGACACATCATTTCATGAGCTTGAGTGTAAATAAGGTACCATCATTCATTTTTCATGGACAACTAACCTGCTATCGTGCAAAAATATATTAATGGAAATTTATACCCATCGTGTGCTAAGATTTGTCATGCAATGATCTGACAAATCGTATCAGAGTAGAAGAATGAATTAAAAGAGAGAGAACATTGTGAATATACCTAAGGGTTGTACCCTATATAAGACATGACTCTATTCAGTCTATGCAAACATAGTAGATATACATGTTTGACCCACCCCCTAGACTGCATAGGGGCAGGTCATGACAAAACAGCTCAGGGTGCACTACTAGTCCAGCCTCTGAGACAAGGGTCTAAAAGACCAGTCAGAAGGAGTACAGACAAGGCAAGAACAAGTACAGGGCGGCACTACTAGTCCAACCACTGTGAGAGGACACAAGTCCAGTCTGAGTGTACAAATATATAGGACAGTACAAGTCAAGGCCCAAGCAAGTGAGAGACGACAGGAACTAGACCAAGCTGTACACAGTGCCGCTGATGATCTTTAGGCGCAAGTGCCTTCGTAAAGATATCAGCTGTGTTGGCACCTGAGGCCAAGTGTACTACGCGGCCTGGCGTCGCTGCTGTAGCTCGCGCAGGAGGAAGTACCGCAGCTGGATATGCTTCGTTCTGCCCTCGAGTCGAGGCTCCTGACACAGGAGGATCATGGCCTGTTGTCAGCGTACAGGACCGGGCAGAGCTAGGCTGCTCACCTAAGTCAGCGAGCAAGAAGGTCAGCCAGCGGAGCTCCTGTGCCGCCATGGCACCGGCGTAGATCTCAGCCTCACAGCTGGACTGGGCAACAGACGATGAGCGGATAGCTCTCACGAGACAGCACCTGAGCCAAGGCTGAAGCAGTAGCCCTGGGAAGACCTGAGCGTCTCGGCGTCGTCTGCCCAAGAAGCGTCTGTGTGTCTAGTCAGGACCACCGCCTGCGTCCGCCTAGCACTAACCCCATGCCCAATGTACTTGCAAGATAACGCAGAACCCTCTTAGCGGCAGACCAGTGCTGAGGTCGGTGTCTGCCTAGTGGCCACAAAGCGCGCCAGGATGCTGAGAGGGTATGCGAGATCTGGGCGAGTGCAAGTCATCAGGTACATGAGGCAACCCACCAGCTCAGCGTAAGGACCACTGGGATCTACCGACTCCTCAGGAACTGGAGCGGAGAGTCTGTGGTCCAGAGGAAGAGGGGTGGGCTGTGCTGAGGAGAACTGAAGGCCGAAACTCTGAAGGACCTGGCGCACCAAGTGTGACTGAGTCATGGTGATGGTGCGCGCGGCTCTGTCCCTGGAGATCTGCAAACCAAGGTAACAGCGCAGCTCTCCAAGGTCAGTGCAAGTGTGTCTCTTCAGCAGCTCTGCCTTCACGGAGGCCAGTGCGTCCCTGTCTGCAGTGGCGAAGACCAGGTCGTCTACGTAGACAAGGATGTAAAACGGAGTCTGGCCAGCACGAACAAAGAGTGAGGGGTCTGCAGAGGACGAAAAGAACTGCAGGTCAGCGAGGGTAGCACGCAACGTGTCGTGCCACTCACGGCGCGCCTGGCGCAGGCCGTAGACTGGGCGCCACAGAAGCCACTGGGTCCCAGGAGGGAAGGCGCCAGTGAAGCCCTGAGGGCGACGCAAGTAGACCTGCTCGTGTAGGCTGCCCTGAAGGAAGGCAGTGGAGAAGTCGAGGGAGTGAAGCTCGTAGTCACGCTGAGCCGCTACGTGTAGCAGAACCCGAAGAGTAGTCATCTTCGGGGTAGGAGCGAAAGTCTGAAAGAAGTCCACCCCCTCGCGCTGACTGAAACCTCTAGCCACGTAGCGCACATTGAACACAGGCGGCTCTCAGGAGGGCGCTTCACCTTGAAGAGCCAGCGGCCATTGACTACGTTCACCCCAGGTGGGGGAACTGCGTCGAGGAAGGTGCCGGTGGATCTCCAAGATGCCATCTCCTGCTCCATGGCAGCTATCCACTCAGAGGCCCAGGGTCCCGAAACCGCCTCAGCGTAAGTACGAGGGGTCGGGATGTCGAAAGCGTCTGGGTCACCCTCAGGGACTAGCAGCATGGAACAGAGATGGGGAGCAGCCTCGGACAGGAAAGCAAGCTCGAACTGGCGGTCCTCCAGGACGTCACTAGCAAGGGCAGGAGCACCCCCGACAGACGGAGGACAGGCAGGGTCAGAGACCAGAGCGGTGGCGTAGTCAAGGCGGCGGGTAGAGGCGAAGTCAGCGACCGCAGCGACAAGGGCGTCAAGACTCGAAACCGGAACAGACGGGTCGGTAACGAGAGAGGCAAGGACCCGAGGAACAAGAGGACGAGCAGCACGAAAGAAGTCAGACAGAGGAGGAGACACAACTGTATGAGAAGACGGAGGAGGCGACGGGAGGAGGGGAGGACGAGACGCGTGGGAACGTAGCAACATAGGTTGAGAGCGCGGGGTGGGGGAGACAGGACGAGCACGGGAGGGACGGCGAGACCAGACGTGAGAGGGAGGCGTCGGGTCAGGAGACAGAGGAGGGGACACGGGTGGGGAATGACGGGGAAAACGAGCCGGGGACGAGTCTGGCGGAGGGAACATGGGGCCGTAGACGGGAAGAGGAGGAGACGGCAGGAGAGGAACAGGTGCAGGGTCAGGGGACGGAAGGCCGAGCAGACAAAGGGCGGACACCGGCGGGACTGCTGCTGCTGCGACACAACACCAACACCAGGGCCGCAAGCTGCGCGACGGCTACCTCCCGAACCCTCCACGCCGGCACCCCCAGAAGGGACACCCCCAGAGCCCGAAACCCCGCCAGCGCCGGTACCACCCCCAGTCCCGCCGGGACAAGCCACGACAGGAGCCCCGGGACGAGTACCCACCTCAACGCCAGCAACCCCAGAGTCCACGAACGGCGGCAGCGACGACAGCGGCGGCGGCGGCGGCGTCGGCTGCAACAACTGCTGCGACGGCAGCGGCGGCGGAGACGACAGCTGCCGCAGCTGGGGCGACGGCCGCTGCGGAGGCGGTGGAGGTGGAGACAGCGGGGGAGGGACTGGTGGCGAGGACTGCGCTAGGGGACTACCAAAGTCAGAAAACTCCTCGACCGGGACGACCGACGGGAGGGGGGTGACGTGAGACACACCAGAGGGGGCCGGACGGGGGGGAGGGGGGGGGGGGGGGGGCAGGGACGACCAGGGAGGGAGGAACCAGGAACAGGGGGGGAGTAACCGGGGGACCACAGTGGGGGAAGCGGCGGTAGAAGGAGACGGACTCGTCAAAGGTGACGTCGCGAGAGTGAAAGAAGCCGTGAGACGGCGGGTGGTAGAAGTGCCAGTCAGACGCGTCAAGGGGGAAACCGAGAAAGACGCAGGGAAGGATGCGGGCAGTGAGCTTGTCCGTGCCAGAGGCACGAATGTGAGCAAGGCAGCCCCAGACGTGGAACGCAGACGCGTCGCCAGGGGACCCGGTCCACGGAAGGGTCGGCGAAACCTGCGGCCGCTGGGGGTGCGGCCATAGGTTAAGCTGGTGAGCAGCGTAGCGCACGGCGAACGGCCACAGAAAATGGGGTGCACCGGCATGGATCATGGAGGTGCGAGCCACCTCCATGACCAAACCGATGCGTCGCTTAGCGACCCCATTCTGCTGCGGGGAGTCCGGCAGGGTAAACGTCTGGGTGATGCCCTCTGCACGACAGAAGCGACCGAGGACACCGGAGGCAAAATCGCCACCACGGTCGGAGTGAAGACGCAAGACAGGGAGACCGCGGTGGACACGAGCAGAGACAAGCCAGGGGATGAGAACGTTAGGCACGTCGGCCTTCCGCTCCAGGGGAAAGACGGTGGTGTAGCGCGTGAAGTCGTCGACAAGCACGAGGAAGAAGCGCTCGCGACGCGGCCCATGGACGGGGGCGGGGCCCCAGACGTCCATGTGTAGACTCTGCAGCGGTGCGGCGGTAGGGGGAAACGAGGAGGAGTGAGGGGCACAGCGAAGCCGGCCCTCGACGCAAGGCGTGCAAGGTGGGGCGGGGGAGGAGGGAAACTCGGGGAACGAACAGGGGAGACCAAGGACGAGACCGTGCTGGGACATGTGACGCAGACGCGGGAGCGCAGGGTGACCAAGGCGGTGGTGCCAAAGGAGTGTCGGGTGAGTGAGGGACCGACAGGAGCAAGCAGCAGCAACCTGAGTAGACGCAGCCACCTGGGGGGACGTCGCAGCCGGGGAAGTCACGGTGTCAAGTGTGAACAGGCCTGACACCGGGTCCCTGGGGAACGTGGTAAGGGGGGCACCAGTGGCGGCCTCGGTATACACAGCATACCGCTCGTGCCCAGGGAACGTAGTGGTGACGCCAAGGTCCTGGAGGCAGCCGTCACCAGCTAGGTTCCTGGAGAATGAGGGGATATGCAGGCCTGTGAGCGAACCCGAAGGAACCGCCGGACAGGGAAGGGAGGTGGAACTGCGGGCTACGACCGGACCACCGGAGGGGTCAGCAAGAGAAACGGCAGCAGGAACAGGAAGCGGCGTCAGCGTAGTGGAGTCGCGGAAGAAACACCAGGAAGCGCCAGAGTCCAAGGTGAAGGAAAGTGCAGCATTGGCGCCTGGCGGCGGAGAAGCGGTGGAAGCACCGAGGCTACACAAAGCAGGAGATCCTACGCCTGACGCAGCAAGGGAGTCTACGCTAGGCACACCTACACTAGGCAACACGGGGTAATAAGAAGGAAGCACACTAGAGTCATCAGCATACATCACATGCAGGGCGGCTACAATGGCATCCATGTCCAAGTCAAAAATCTGAATACTACGCCTAAGCAAACTGTGCCAGTCCGGGAGGTCGGGCGACGGGCCAAAGCGCAGACGGAACAGGTCGTCCAGGCGACGAAAACAGCGAGGAGTGGAATGACCGATCTTACCGCAAACGAAGCCGCGGCGCGGACCGGTCTGGATCTGGTACTGACAGCACACGCCTCCGGAACCACCACCCGGCGCACCACCACGCGCACGGCCACTACCAGCTCCAGGCCACTCGGGCGGGAGGGCACTCGCATGCCTCGTCTGCGGCGGCTGCTGGGGCTGCTGCGGAGGCTGCGGCTGCGGGGACTGCTGCTGCTGCGGCGGCTGCTGAGGCAGTGGGTCAGCCGGACTGGGCAGCGTCCCCTCGTCCGCTCCAACACCAGACAACCCGACTCCACCACCACCCCCTCCTGCACCCCCACCTCCCCCGCCACGCCCAGCCTTGGGGTGGCGACCCTTCCCCGAGCGAAACTGCGCGGCTGCAGCAGTCTCAGCCACAGCGATAGAGCCGTCGGAGAAGGTACACTGAGCGGGGGCACAACCCTGAAAGATAGGGACCGGTACCGTACCGCTCGCCTGGGCGATGGAGCGGTGGCGAGTCTCGATAACAGTCAGGGTGTCTACGAAGGCGGTGAGGGTGAGCTCAGCGGGGTGAATGCTAAGAAACTGGTCGCGGGCGGCGGCAAGGCGGTCAGGGAGGCGGGTGGCAAGCAGGTAGAGGGTAGAGGTCATGGGCGGCTGGTGGGCTCTAAGCTGTGCATCAGTGCAGGCAGCGCGCCAGGTCTCATCTACCGAGCGCAGGTGGGCAGCTAGGTCAGAGACAGTGGGGAAAGACGCAAGGTCGGGAAAGAGCATCGGGAGGATCAGGCGACCTACGGAGGCAGCAGGGGGGGCAGAATAGCGCTTGATGACAGCATCTAAGTAGGCCTGGGCGATAGTGATGGACCTAAAGCGAGGGCGCTCAGGCGGGGGAAGGGCATGGCTAATGGCGAGCTGAGCAACAGCATCTCGGGAAAGCTAGACAGAGCGTGCTAGGGCAGCGGCGGCAGTGGACTCGCGCTCAGCGGGTGTGGGGTCGGCGGGCAGCACAGCAGGGGGGTCTAGGCAGGGGAGCGTACCGTCAAGGTGTGCGGAAAGCGGGTGGCCATCCTGCCGCTGGCCGGTGAGGTGGCGGCGGAGATCGGCAAGCCACGCCTCGAACTCCAGTGGCTGACCTTCAGCATCGAAGCGAAGCTCCGCCGCCATCAGGAGCAGGGAAGGACTATACAGGGCGGTGCAGAACAGTGCAGTGGGGTGCAGTGCGGTGCAGTGCTGTGCAATGCGGTGCAGTGCGGTGCAATGCGGTGCAGTGCGGTCCAGTGCGGTCCAGTGCGGTGCAGTGCGGTCCAGTGCGGTGCAGTGCGATCCGGTGCTGTGCAGTGCGGTGCAGTGCGATGCAGTGCGGTGCAGGGAAGTGCAGTGCGATGCAAAGCGGTGCAGGGAACGGGGGACAGTACCAGGGAGGATGTAGGGCCGGGGCTAAGACGACGAGGCTGGGCAGGGCGCGACGAGGCCGGGCAGGGCGCGGCGAGGCCGGACAGGGCGCGATGGAGCCCGGCAGAGCGCGTCAAGGCCGGGCAGGGCGCGACGGGGCTAGGCAGGGCGCGACAGGGCCAGGCGGGCGCGACAGGGCCGGGCGAGCACGACGGGGCCGGGCAGGCGCGACGGGGCCGGGCAGGCGCGACGGGGCCGAGCGAGCGCGACGGGGCTAAGGGAGGGACGGGGCCCAGGAGGGGCGCGACCGGGCAGGGAGGTGCGACAGGGCCCAGGAAGTGGCGTCTGGGCTAGGAGGCGCGACGGGGCCCAGGAGGGGCGCGAACGGGCGAGGAGGCGCGCTAGGGGCCCAGGAGGGGCGCGACTGGGCTAGGAGGCGCTTTAGGGGCCCAGGAGGGGCGCGACTGGAGTAGGAGGCACGCTAGGGGCCCAGGAGGGGCGCGACGGGGCTAGGAGGCACGACGGGGCCCAGGAGGGGCGCGACTGGGCTTTGAGGCGCGATAGGGCCCAGGAGGGGCGTGGCTGGGCGAGGAGGGGCGACGGGGCCCAGGAGGGGCGGGTCTGAGCTAGGAGGCACGGCAGGGCCCAGGGAGGCGCGACTGGGCTACGAGAGACGAAGGGCCCATGAGGGGCGCGGCGGGGCCTAGCGAGGGTAGGAGCGGAAGTGATAAGGGGGGGGGGGGGGGGGGTCGAAACCTACGCGTGATACCATAACAGAGTAGAAGAATAAATTAAAAGAGAGAGAACATGTGAATATACCTAAGAGTTGTACCCTATATAAGACATAACTCTATTCAGTCTATGCAAACATAGTAGATATACATGTTTGACACAAGGATGCTTGAGTAGTGCAGCGGAAGTTGAGTAGTTGAACCCTTGCACTAGTATGTGAGAGCAAGTAATTGATTAAAAGAAGCAAGCATACAGCAATATATAGAAAACAAGAAATAGAGCATTTGTAGAATACTGTTGAAGAAACGGTTATCGAGTCGCTGTGCGACTCGATCGTTGGTTCGGTTACCACCTTTGCAGTCGTAACGGTCAGTCGCAACCTCCGGTTGCGATCCTTCGAGTCCCTTCGTCCTTTCGTGTTCTTTCGTCCAACCTCCTCGTGTAACCTTCGTTGACTCGTGTACTCGATACGACTTTACTCGAGTGTAGTGTTACACTTCAGAAACGCTTAAGTACTTGAGGTATTTCCAACAGCTTTGGCTTAGATTACTCGCCTGAGATTTGTTTTTTAAATTTCATCACATTTCAAAATCCGAGTTTAATCTAACTTTCAATAATAGACATATCAAGCATTTGTAGAATCAGCATAAGATGAACCTACATTCGTTATTGGTAGATTTCTCGTTTCCGTGTGAACCTGCCGTAGCTCATCTCAAATCCTTCGCCAACTTGCGGTGGCCTCTCGCCTCCTTCTGTGATAACTTGAATCTGCCTTCTACACAATTTGCCAGTTCTACCTGCACCAAACGCAGGCCTAGTTTTTTCGTGGTCAGTACGCTTCGGAGTCTCGCTTCAAGCGCAGCCTGCCTTTTCCCCTGTTGAGATTAAATTCCCCTGGGCTTCGATTGCTCAGCTCCCTCTGACAGATCGCCGCCATGTTTCTGACGAGGTAACGACCTTATGCCAAAGCTTCAGCCCGAATCCTAGCCGGCTCGCAGATTCAGGTTTCAGCTAGCATCCTGATCTGGGTCGCTGTCGATCCATACTCGCGCAGTTCGCTGGCTCGCGGAATCCGGTTACTGATTTTCGCTATCGCAGTTGCTCGTACTTCGCGAATATTTGCTAACTTGAGGCATGCGTTAGCTCCTGGATAGCCATATGCTCAGATGCACCCCCCTGATGGGACAAAGCCTGTGCTGCAATTGCACGGCTCATGCATATTCATTGGAAAACGAAGCATGTGACGAGAGCTCCTTAAAGCAGAGAATCAGGCAGTCGACCCCATAGTTCGAGCCATCATCCAGGTCTCGAATTCAGAAAGTCGATCTTTAGTTCATGTTGACTTTATTCTCGATCCGGGTTTGTACTCTGCTATTGATAATTATGGTGGCCATTATGGAGAGCCGAGTAACCAGCCGGTGATGTAACCGTATTGTAGACTTGGAGATAAGCGGGCTCAGCAAGTCAATACTCGTCGTTCCCAAAGAGCCACACTTGATTTTATGTTGTTTCGTTTCAAGCTTAATCATCTTTCATTGGTTCCAACCTTCTTACCACATCCAAATTTAACGGCTGGCAGGAGCGAGTACGATCGCGGCGTGAGCACCTTCTCGCCCGAGGGACGGCTGTTCCAAGTGGAGTATGCCATCGAGGCCATCAAGGTACGCCTCGTGCTCTGTTAGCTAGCAACCATTGAGTTGGCTCTGTCTACGTTGCGGTGATCGACATTCGAGAGAGCAGTACCTGCCTGCCCGCCTGCTGAAAGCAGTGAGCTGAGCACTTTCTCGCCCGAGGGACGGCTGTTCCAAGTGGAGTATGCCATCGAGGCCATCAAGGTATGCACGTTTGGCTTCAACGGTTGGATCTGTTTGCGGTGATTGGGAGAGCAGTGCCTGCTGGCCTCATGTAAGCAGTGAGCACCTTCTCGACGGCTGTTCCAAGTGGACTATGCCATCGAGGCCATCAAGGTACGCCTCGTGCGCGAGTCAAGGTGTTACCGCAAGAGGTATCTTCCTGCGGTGACTGAGTGAGCAGCTCGTGAGTCGTGACAGGTCCCCACTTGATGAAAGCAGTGAGCGCCTTCTCGCCTGCAGTGAGCGCCTTCTCGCCTGCAGTGAGCGCCTTCTCGCCAGCAGTGAGCGCCTTCTCGCCTGCAGTGAGCGCCTTCTCGCCAGCAGTGAGCGCCTTCTCGCCTGCAGTGAGCGCCTTCTCGCCTGCAGTGAGCGCCTTCTCGCCTGCAGTGAGCGCCTTCGCAGTGAGCGCCTTCTCGCCAGCAGTGAGCGCCTTCTCGCCTGCAGTGAGCGCCTTCTCGCCTGCAGTGAGCGCCTTCTCGCCAGCAGTGAGCGCCTTCTCGCCTGCAGTGAGCGCCTTCTCGCCTGCAGTGAGCGCCTTCTCGCCAGCAGTGAGCGCCTTCTCGCCTGCAGTGAGCGCCTTCTCGCCAGCAGTGAGCGCCTTCTCGCCAGCAGTGAGCGCCTTCTCGCCAGCAGTGAGCGCCTTCTCGCCAGCAGTGAGCGCCTTCTCGCCTGCAGTGAGCGCCTTCTCGCCAGCAGTGAGCGCCTTCTCGCCTGCAGTGAGCGCCTTCTCGCCTGCAGTGAGCGCCTTCTCGCCTGCAGTGAGCGCCTTCTCGCCTGCAGTGAGCGCCTTCTCGCCAGCAGTGAGCGCCTTCTCGCCTGCAGTGAGCGCCTTCTCGCCTGCAGTGAGCGCCTTCTCGCCAGCAGTGAGCGCCTTCTCGCCTGCAGTGAGCGCCTTCTCGCCTGCAGTGAGCGCCTTCTCGCCAGCAGTGAGCGCCTTCTCGCCTGCAGTGAGCGCCTTCTCGCCAGCAGTGAGCGCCTTCTCGCCAGCAGTGAGCGCCTTCTCGCCAGCAGTGAGCGCCTTCTCGCCTGCAGTGAGCGCCTTCTCGCCTGCAGTGAGCGCCTTCTCGCCTGCAGTGAGCGCCTTCTCGCCTGCAGTGGGCGCCTTCTCGCCAGCAGTGAGCGCCTTCTCGCCAGCAGTGAGCGCCTTCTCGCCTGCAGTGAGCGCCTTCTCGCCAGCAGTGAGCGCCTTCTCGCCTGCAGTGGGCGCCTTCTCGCCAGCAGTGAGCGCCTTCTCGCCAGCAGTGAGCGCCTTCTCGCCAGCAGTGAGCGCCTTCTCGCCTGCAGTGAGCGCCTTCTCGCCTGCAGTGAGCGCCTTCTCGCCTGCAGTGAGCGCCTTCTCGCCAGCAGTGAGCGCCTTCTCGCCTGCAGTGGGCGCCTTCTCGCCAGCAGTGAGCGCCTTCTCGCCAGCAGTGAGCGCCTTCTCGCCAGCAGTGAGCGCCTTCTCGCCTGCAGTGAGCGCCTTCTCGCCTGCAGTGAGCGCCTTCACGCCTGCAGTGAGCGCCTTCTCGCCAGCAGTGAGCGCCTTCTCGCCTGCAGTGAGCGCCTTCTCGCCAGCAGTGAGCGCCTTCTCGCCAGCAGTGAGCGCCTTCTCGCCAGCAGTGAGCGCCTTCTCGCCTGCAGTGAGCGCCTTCTCGCCTGCAGTGAGCGCCTTCTCGCCAGCAGTGAGCGCCTTCTCGCCTGCAGTGGGCGCCTTCTCGCCAGCAGTGAGCGCCTTCTCGCCAGCAGTGAGCGCCTTCTCGCCTGCAGTGAGCGCCTTCTCGCCAGCAGTGAGCGCCTTCTCGCCTGCAGTGAGCGCCTTCTCGCCAGCAGTGAGCGCCTTCTCGCCAGCAGTGAGCGCCTTCTCGCCAGCAGTGAGCGCCTTCTCGCCTGCAGTGAGCGCCTTCTCGCCTGCAGTGAGCGCCTTCTCGCCTGCAGTGAGCGCCTTCTCGCCAGCAGTGAGCGCCTTCTCGCCTGCAGTGGGCGCCTTCTCGCCAGCAGTGAGCGCCTTCTCGCCAGCAGTGAGCGCCTTCTCGCCAGCAGTGAGCGCCTTCTCGCCTGCAGTGAGCGCCTTCTCGCCTGCAGTGAGCGCCTTCTCGCCAGCAGTGAGCGCCTTCTCGCCTGCAGTGAGCGCCTTCTCGCCAGCAGTGAGCGCCTTCTCGCCAGCAGTGAGCGCCTTCTCGCCTGCAGTGAGCGCCTTCTCGCCTGCAGTGAGCGCCTTCTCGCCAGCAGTGAGCGCCTTCTCGCCTGCAGTGGGCGCCTTCTCGCCAGCAGTGAGCGCCTTCTCGCCAGCAGTGAGCGCCTTCTCGCCAGCAGTGAGCGCCTTCTCGCCAGCAGTGAGCGCCTTCTCGCCTGCAGTGAGCGCCTTCTCGCCTGCAGTGAGCGCCTTCTCGCCAGCAGTGAGCGCCTTCTCGCCTGCAGTGGGCGCCTTCTCGCCAGCAGTGAGCGCCTTCTCGCCAGCAGTGAGCGCCTTCTCGCCTGCAGTGAGCGCCTTCTCGCCAGCAGTGAGCGCCTTCTCGCCTGCAGTGAGCGCCTTCTCGCCAGCAGTGAGCGCCTTCTCGCCAGCAGTGAGCGCCTTCTCGCCAGCAGTGAGCGCCTTCTCGCCTGCAGTGAGCGCCTTCTCGCCTGCAGTGAGCGCCTTCTCGCCTGCAGTGAGCGCCTTCTCGCCAGCAGTGAGCGCCTTCTCGCCTGCAGTGGGCGCCTTCTCGCCAGCAGTGAGCGCCTTCTCGCCAGCAGTGAGCGCCTTCTCGCCAGCAGTGAGCGCCTTCTCGCCAGCAGTGAGCGCCTTCTCGCCACCAGTGAGCGCCTTCTCGCCAGCAGTGGGCGCCTTCTCACCCAAAGGGACGGTTGTTCCAAGTGGAGTATGCCGTCGAGGTCATCAAGGTACGCACATGTGTGTTCTCAACTATCAAGGTGTGCACGTTTGGGTTCCTGGATCCTTGTCGCCTGAAGGAACGGAACGGCGTTCTTCACTGCCACGCATGATGGGGTGTGCTGCTGTGCATATGCCATATGCCATCTGCCATGTCATACCCAGCTTCATCGCATGCCATGCCACATGTCGCATGGATGGATGGCAGCTCGAGTCAACAGCAGTGGGCATTCAGACCTAGGTAGGCATTCAGGCATGTCATGGCATGGGATGACATGGCTTCTGCTTTCATCGCATCCCATGTGTATGTTCCCCTCCCAACCCCACACCTCCCCCCCCCCCCCCCCTCGCCTCTCCTTGTCTCGCATGGAATGCAGCTCAGGTCAACGGCAGTGGGCATTCATTCTTCAGACCATGTCATGTCATGCAATATCATGCCATCCCATGTCACATGCCCCCTTCTATTGTCTCGCATGGATAACAGCTCGGGTCAACAGCGGTGGGCATTCAGACCAAGGAGGGAGTGGTGCTGGCAGTGGAGAAGAGAATAACCTCGCCGCTGCTGGTACGTTTGCCTGTTGTTGGTGTGACTCTTGGCGCTCGTCATTGCTGCTATGTCCGTCCTTGTGACGATCCTGTGCAACACGAACACAGCATTCGGACCAAGGAGGGAGTGGTGCTGGCAGTGGAGAAGAGAATAACCTCGCCCGTCCTGGTATGGCTGCTTGGTGCTGCTCTGTGTCGCGTTACCCGCGGGAAGACATGAGCCTTCTCCGGGTTAACACAGCAGCAAGGGGAGTGGTGAGATGAAGTAGAGAAGAATTGGGAAAGAGATTGAGTGAATAACAGAAATATCAGGTGTGACAGGGAGAGGTACAGTAAGCACTGTTCTATTTCGGTAATGAGCGGAGGGATCGAGGCGCGGGAAGAATGAAATGTCAAAGCATCGAGGCGCGAGCTGGAAGGAGGTGGAGGGCGTCAGCAGGGGCCCAACCCAATCTGACGTGGAGATGGGCCAAGGGAAGGGAATCTCAGTTCCCGAGGGAAGGAAGGTGAAGGGGTTGTTGGAGCAGGGGGAGATGGATGTGTAAATAGGATGAGACTCAGTAGGACCCTCGCTTTTGCTTGTATGCTTTCCTTCTATACTGCAATTCGCTCTAAGCCTACTAGAGTCTAGCAGTGCAGGAATTCGATCCTAAGTAGATCGGAACAGGCGTCGTGCGGCTTGTAACTGGAGAGCTTGTTCCCACGGCACCGGTGATAACCTACAAGAGGCGGAATGGACAAGGGGGAAAGAAGAGCAAGGAGGAAGGATAGCTGAGGAAAAAAGGGAGAGAAATGGGAGAGGCACGACATCTGGCTTGTTGCCCTGCGGTTCTGTAATGTGTAATACGGTATTATGTGGTTGGATTTGGTGCTGTGCGAACACACAGGAGCCTCGCAGTGTGGAGAAGATAATGGAGGTGGATTCGCACATAGGCGCTGCGATGAGTGGGCTCACGGCCGATGCCCGCACTCTCATCCACCACGGCCGCATTCAAACTCAGGTGGGCGGGCGGTATGCATACCCCAGTACCCATCCATTCTTACTCCGGTGGGGTGCAGCGCACACTGTTCTGGTGGCCGTAGGTGGTTGGATGGTGGGGTGCAGCGCCCAAATGGTTTACAACTTCTTTCTGATGAGCGCCATTTGGATTCAATTCAAGTAAGCGTTGTTCGTTCAGACCGTCATTCACCTGCCCTCGTTGCCTTAGCATGGCCCCGTATTGACTGTTGCTATCTCTCATTGCCCATCAACACCCCGCACCACCACTCACTTGTGCATTTCTTCACCCCTCCAGTCCCTCCCGCCGTTTCTCCTACAACGAGCCCTTGCTGGTGGAGCCGTGCTCTGGGTTCCTCTGTGTCCGCTGTCGCCCCCTCAATATTTATTTTTGAGGCACCTCAAAAATAGCTTCCTCTGTGTCCGCAGGCGCCTCAAAAATAGCTTCCTCTGTGTCCGCAGGCGCCTCAAAAATAAGTTCCTGTGTGTCCCTGTCGCCGCCTCATTGTTTCTTGTTACCTCTTATCATCGCATTACACCCCCCCCACCCCCCCCCAGTCCCACCGATTCTCCCACAACGAGCCCATGCTGGTGGAGTCATGCACTTCGTCGCTCTGCGGCCCCCTAACCGCCCCTGAGACTCTCTCTTATGCACCCCCATGGACCCTTGCCACCCCGCATCCCCACCGCCGCTCATCACTCCCCTATCCCTCTTATCACCGCATTCAACCCCCCAGTCGCACCGCTTCTCGTACAACGAGCCCATGCTGGTGGAGTCGTGCACCCAGTCGCTGTGCGACCTGGCACTCAAGTTCGGAGAGGGGGATGACGACAGCATGGTCAGTTGGTGGCTATGCCGCTCGAGGGTGGTGTGGTGGGGGACCATGGTAGTATGAAAGTGAAGGCATGTGATGGGGAGTCGCGCACCTAGTCGCTGTGTGACCGCGCGTTGAAGTTCGGAGAGGGGGGCGTCGACAGCATGGTGAGTTGGTGGTTATGCCGCTCGAGGGCGGTGTGGTGGGGCAGCAGACAGACAGTGCCAGAGGTTGTGCTTGTGGAGTTGTGTACCCAGGCGATCTGTGACCTGGCACTCAAGTTTGGAGAGGGGGATGATGGCAGCATGTGGTGAGTGAAGGGGTGACGGTGGTAGCATGGTGGGGGGTATTGTGGCTTGCGAGCGAGGTGACTTGGCAGCCATTCAGTCGCTTTGTGACCTGGCACTCAAGTTCGGAGAGGGGGACAATGACAGCATGGTGAGTGGGTTGGCAGTGACACCTGTGGGTGGTGGTGGGGTTACGGCAGTATGGAGAGTGAAGGGCCGTGTTGGTGATTCGTGCACTTAGTTGCTCTGCAACCTCGCATTGAAGTTTGGAGAGGGGGACGACGATGATGATGATGATGATGATGATGATGATGATGATGATGATGATGATGATGATGATGATGATGATGATGATGATGATGATGATGATGATGATGATGATGATGATGATGATGATGATGATGATGATGATGATGATGATGATGATGATGATGATGATGATGATGATGATGATGATGATGATGATGATGATGATGATGATGATGATGATGATGATGATGATGATGATGATGATGATGATGATGATGATGATGATGATGATGATGATGATGATGATGATGATGATGATGATGATGTGTGATAGTGTGGTTTGTGAGTCGACTGAGAAGGCACTTCGTCTCTCTGCGACCTTGCACTCAAGTTCGGAGAGGGGGATGATGGCAGCATGGTGAGTGAGGGGAGGTGAGAACATCCCCCCCTCTCCCCTACGTCTTTTTATAATGGCTTCCTCTCCCACCCTTATTTTTCTGTCTGCTTCCCTTATTCCTCGCCGCTCTCCCCCCCCCCCCCCCCCGCACCCTCCCTTCCACCCACCCCTATCCCCATTCCTCCCTTCACATGATGGTGCCATCAGAGCCGTCCATTCGGAGTGGCTCTGCTGATTGCTGGAGTCGACAAGTACGGCCCGTGCCTGTACGTCATGTGTCTTTTGGCCTGGATGTACCCTCGTGCATAGATGTGCTTGTTCTGAAAGTGCCTGTACGTGTCATGTGAAAACACTCTTCCCTTGTCAATCGTTTGTATTGCGTTATGCAGACCAAGGTCCTTTTTTTCATTTAGAGTACTACACTGTCGTCTACGACAGATCTGTTATGACTTTTGAGGCGACTCAAAAGTCACCTCACTTAGATTACTACACTGTCGTCTACGACTGATCTGTTATCAAGCCTTGATACACACTGACCCTTCTGATACCTTCGTGCTCTAAGATGCCAAGGTCACTGGAGCAGCCATTATCCGTGCACCCATGCTGTCCCTAACATTGCCATTCTGCCCATATACGCCAGATACCACACGGACCCTTCAGGCACGTTTGTTCGCTATGATGCCAAGGCCATTGGCGCTGGGACAGAGGGGGCTCAGGCCAACCTGCAGGACAGCTACAATAAGGTATGAAAGGAAGAAACTGATTACAGGGACATGTACAGCAATCGATGTAGGATTACCTTAGAGTCACAGGGGGCTCTGCCAACTTACACGAAAGCTACATTAAGGTGCGTGTAGTGAACCCTAGTTACTATGCATGTAACAGCAGACTCGCGTCTCCTACCTTGGACTAAGTGCATGTTGTCAACAAGTATAAGTGCATGTTGTCAACAAGTATAAGTGCATGTTGTCAACAAGTACAAGTTAGACTGATCTCTTATCCGTGCACTGTTTGTTGTAGCACACCATCCGTTGTCACCCGAGTTTTTTTGCCCGTGTAACGCAAACAACCTTCTGTATGTTGCATCCGCTGTAACCATGTTACCATGTTACAGGACATGAGCTTGGAGGAGGCAGAGACACTTGCGCTGTCTACTCTGAAGCAAGTCATGGAGGAGAAGGTAGGGCGAGAGTTGTTGAGGTTATAGAAGGTAGGGCGAGAGTTGTTGAGGTTATAGAAGGTAGAGCGAGAGTTGTTGAGGTTATAGAAGGTAGAGCGAGAGTTGTTGAGGTTATAGAAGGTAGAGCGAGAGTTGTTGAGGTTATAGAAGGTAGGGCGGTCAAGGGATAGGGAGGCTACGAGTTTTCTTAGGTACGTTGTTGCGATCAATGGGGGAGAAGGTAGCATGCGAGCAATGTGTGCCCCTCACTTATAGATGGTGCCTCATGTTCCCTAGGGTAGGCTGACATGATCTTCAATTCAACCTCACCTTTTTTGCTCTCTTTCCCACATGGTCTTACGTGCAGGTGTCTCCGACTAATGTAGACATTGCCAAGGTTGCGCCAACCTACCATTTGTACACCAAGGAGGAAGTGGAGCAAGTTATTGCACGGACAACGTAATTCGTGCACTGGACGAGTGTATCTTAGTATAGTGCGCGGAGTTCTGCATGTGCAGTGAAGTGTGTGCGGGACATATTGCCTTGACAGGTGGTTTTGAGCAATTTTGTATACAAGAATAGGTATAAAATCCTTCAGGCTTCTCATTTGGTGAATGGATTGCTATGTGAGCAGATTATGCTAACGACCATGTAAGATTGTTATGTAGCATTCAGCCCATTGATGCTTATCGGGACACTCTGAAACTAGACCCTGGTAGGAGCACGTTCAGAGTGGAATCGGGGATGCTGAAATCAAACCCCCATCCCTCACGAAACTGGCCCCGAAAAAAATCATTGGGGAAAATCTTTGGGAAAATCTTTGGGAAAATCTTGCAAAAGTTCGTGATATTCAAATGTCTCTTTCTCCAGGAACGAAAGTGCAGTGGGCGGGGAATAACGATGGGGTGACACGAAGGCCGCCATGCGTTAGTCTGAAACGCGGCCCTCCCGAATGCAAAGCTCATAAAAAAAAAATTAAAAAAAAATGTCACACTCCTGCTGCGTTAGTCACTGGAGGAAACGTGACAGTCTCAGGTCGACCCTCTCAAGTGAGCTAAGTCGTTACGCGTTAGTAGCGTCCTCGTTTCGCCCGTTACAAGCCGGCACGGCGATGGCGGCCGTACATTTCTCCCCTGCAGCGACTGCACCGATTTCTTTATTCTCTCCGACAGTGACGTCATGCTCCGAATTTTGGATTTGACGTCAAATCCTTACGTCAAATATCCGACGTCTGATTTCGCGGGTCTCAGGTCGCGTCGGCGATGGCGGCCGTATCGTTATCCCCTGCAGCGACTGCACTGTTTGCGAGTGCCAACCTCGTCGAGACGCGAAGCCAAGGGCAAATTGCCAGCCTAGGGAGCTGCACCCAGCTAAGCCGCCTAGCCAGAGGCCTCTCCAGACATAGCTTCATCGAGCGTAGACGACGGCGGGTGGATTATGCAGTCAGCGGGCTATTCGATCCTATAAATTCGCGAGGATCAGCGTCGCTGCATCCAGCGGGAAATTCGCTGCACCGAGAACGACTAGCGGGACGGATTTCAGTCATTTCGCCTTGGATCAGTTCCCAGCCAGTGCAGGAGCCGCAGAATTGGCGACGGGGGCGAGTATTGGGGCGGGCTATATCGGAGCCGTTTTCGTTCTCGTTTTCTGGAGAGGATGACGGCGAGGAGGAGGAGGAGGAGAGCTTCGGCGACGAGGATCGAGGTGAGGGGTGATCGTGGCCCTGCTTGAAGGTAAAAGAGGTGCCTTCATCTCACCGCAGGAGCAAAACGGCGCGGGGGTGGAGGAGGAGGAGTGCTTCGGCGACACGAGGAACGAGGCGAGGGGTGGTTTTCTGCGATTTCTCTGACGGTGAAGAAACCGATTATTGGAGTGCGTTGAGGAAGATATGGGCTTGTAATAACGAGGGGGGTGCTGCTGAGGCGAGCTCCGGTGACGAAGTACGAGGTGCGGAGCGAGCGCGTGATATTGATTCATGGAGCCACTTTGATTCATGGAGCCACTTTCAGAGCAAGGTTCATGCAACACCTGAGAAGATTTTTGAGGCGCCTCAAAAATCGGTTCATGCAACACCCGAGAAGAGAGGGGAGAAAGGCAACAGGGGAGGGGTACGAAGTGCTCACAGCGCACGCTTCGTGCAGTGAGACGCATGAGTTGTGCGGGGAGAAAGGCAAAGGGAAGGGAGGGGGAGAGATGTGTTTACAGAGCAAGGTTAGTGCAGTGAAACACCTTCTTCGAGCAGAGGGACGAGAGTGGCAACGAGGGAGGGGTACGAAGTGTTTACAGAGCAAGGTACATACAAGTGTACCTCCTAGAGTGGCCGTCTCTCTGCCCAACCTCCCTTATCCATCCTGAAACGTTGAGGTCGGATCCGTGCTCTTGAGTGGCCATCTCTCTGTAACACCCTCTCCTAGCTCTCTCCATTCCTGGGCCTCCTTTCCACCTTCAAATGTCGAAACAGAGACCGTAGCAGCCCGTGGAAAGGGTAGCATTTACTGGCAAAGCTAGGCGGGCAAGTGTGGGCAGTCGAACCTCACGCTTTAACTTCAGGTGCTGACACCAATTACAGAATTGGTGCTCTTCACATTTGACCTCTTGTGCGGGACATGCATTGTTGCGCAGGACCGCATGGAACTAACGGACTTTAAGATCGTGCCGCTCCTCCTCAACGTTTCATTTGGTGGAACGAAGAAAGTGATTGTTGGGTTTCTTGAGTTTGGTCAGATAGTGCAAGCAAGTTCTCTTTGCTGGAGGGGCAACTCCAAATGTCAACTAGTGCAACTAGTTGAATCCACCATGTACTACAAGTGTCAGAAAGAGTGCTACTAAGAGTGGTTGGAAATGATGAAGTGGTGGGAGCAGCTGATGACGGCACCCATATAGCGCTCTATGTTTGAGTGACATGGAGAGCTTCACGTGCCACCATCAGCTGCTCACACTCCCCTAACCTAGAGGCACTCTTGGCAGCACGCTTTTTGGCGCTTTGTCTGCGTTGTGGAGTTGACTTGCTGCCCTTGTTGGAGTTGTCCCTTCCGCCAGGGAAACGATTTTTGAGGCGCCTCAAAAATAGTTGTCTCTTCCGCCAGGGAAACCGGCACCATCTGACGAACCTCGAGAGACGCAACTGAAACGCTGGGAGCAACTGAATGCAACCGGCCCCTTCCTTCGTTGCACCAAATGAAACGCTGGGGAGCAACTCGATCTTTCAGCCCGTTGGTTCCATGCGGCGGTCCTGCAGAATGCGTGTATGTCCAGCATAATAGGTCAAATATGAGGAGTACCAACGCTGTACTTACTATTAGCACCTGACCTGTAAGTAAATACCGCTTCCTCTCCCCCACCCCATCCCTTTCTCCAGACTCAGAAATTGAGGCCTTGTCAGTTTGGGAATGGCTGTCCTGTCTGTCCCTCTGCTCTAACCTCTCAACCGTCGATCCACCTCTTTTGAATTTCAACCCTCCCCTATCCTAGAACCCAGAGGCCGAGACCCTAGAAGCACAGGAGTGGCCGTCTCTGTCAGCCCTGGAGAGGCCATCCCTCTGCCAAACCCTCTCCCCCTTTGCCTCTTCTCCCTCTGCTCCCCCTCAGTGCTATCCACACTCCCCCTTTCCCCTCCCCTCCCCTCCCCTCTTTCTCTCTGCCCTCTCTATCTCCAGACCCAGAGTCCGAGACCCTATCTGCCCTGGAGTGGCCGTCCCTCTGCTCCACTCTCTCCTCCTTCGCCTCGACCTCCTTTGGCCGCCACCTGCTGCTCAACCTGCAGCCCCCCAAAGCACCCTACCCCAGATACGCCCTCCACTCGCAAGACGAAACTCCCTCAGAAGCGCAGCGGGGGTATGAAGATTTTCAAGGGCACTGCGAGGGGTTGTTGGAGGAGACAGCAGCAGCTATTGAGCTGGAGGAAAGGGCAGGGGGGGCGGTGGACTACAGTGGGGTGAATACCTCGTTAGTGGGTGATGCGCTAAGAGTGCTGGGGAGGGGCATGAGTGTGAGTGGCGTGCAGGGCGCTGCCGTTGCTGCGATGATGGCAGCGGCTAACGGGGTGAGGCGAGGGGTGATGGATGCCGTGGCTGAGGTGGAGCGAGGGGGGGAGGGGAGAGGGGAGAGGGGAGGGGAGAGAGGAGGGGAGAGAGGAGGGGAGAGAGGAGGAAGAGAGGGGAGTGGGAAGAGCCGTCTGCACATTCTTCTGGATCTGGTGAGCGCTCTTGGTGTTTCTGAAGGTGAATGAATGGCGAGCGTGAGTGAGTGGCATGGCACAAGGGCATGGCACAAGGGCATGGCACAAGGGCGTGGCACAAGGGCGTGGCACAAGGGCATGGCACAAGGGCATGGCTCAAGGGCATGGCACAAGGGCATGGCTCAAGGGCATGGCACAAGGGCATGGCACAAGGGCATGGCTCAAGGGCATGGCACAAGGGCATGGCACAAGGGCGTGGCACGAGGGCATGGCTGAGGTGGAGCGAGGAGGGGAGAGGGGAGAGAGAGGGGGGAGAGAGGAGGGAGAGAGGGGGGGGGGGAGGAGGAAGGGAGGGGGGTGGTAAAAGCCGCCTGCATGTTCTTCTGGATCTGGTGCGTTGTTTCCTAGGCGAGAACATGGTCAGAAGTCAAATGGTGATTACATGGTGAGAAGTCTTATAGCAGGTACATCGTGGCCTTATAGCGAGTACATCGTGAGAAGTCCCTAAGGGAGTACATGGTTGAGCAACTCCGGATGTTGCCCCGTGCGGCCTGCCCACCCCGCTTCCCCCCCTCAGCTCCAGCCCATGCCACCAGACCGAACCGAACTTGGTTCGGTGCATCTGGTCAACTGTGGACGAGGAGTGGCAGAGTCGCTCTCGCTTGCTTCTTGCCGCGTTTCTCCTCCTCCTTCCCCTCACTCCCTCACCTGCATATCCCCTCCTCGCCCACACCTCCCCCCCCTTTTGAGTCGACTCAAAAGCACACCGACCTGCATTCCCCCTCGTCTCTCTCCCACCTCCCCCCCTTGCAGCTCAAGCCCATGGCCACCAGACCTGATTTGGTTCGGCGCATCTGGTCAGCCGTGGACGAGGAGGGGCAGGTTCGGGACACGGCTAGCGCGGAGGTTCGGCAAGCCCGAGCCGCATGCCAGCTGGCTGCCGCCCGGGCGAGGGAGGCGGTGGCGCGGGCGGCGAGGGGGAGGGGAGCGGGCGGCGGGGTGGTGGAAGAGGTGGTGGAGGTGGATGGGCGGTTCTGCATGGTGGTGAACCGACAGTTGATGAGTGGGGGGGACGGGGGGGCGTCGTCTGGCCTTGTAGTCAAATCGTGAGTCTCTTTGGCGGTTTTCGAATTGCTCAGGTGCCTCTTTGAATTGGTTCACAAGCCTTGGAGTGGGATGGGGTGGGAGGAAGAGGTAGTGGAGGTGGATGGGTGGGAGGTTCTGCATGGTGATGAACAGACAGATGATGTGATGAGTATGGGGGAGGGAAGTGTTTCTGGCCTCGTTGTTAAGTCGTGAGTGCTCCCCTCTTTCTCCCCTCATCCTCTCTCGCTTCTCCCCTCTCCGCCTCCTCTTTCCCAGCTTCACTTTCTAAAAAGGTGACTTGAGTCGACTGAAGGTCCGCAGTCAGGTGGGGGGGTGGTGGGAGGAAGAGGTGGTGGAGGTGGATGGGAGGTTCTGTTCTTCACAGAGAGATGATGAGCGGGGGGGAGGCGGGATCTGCTTCTTTCTTGCCTTGTTGTCATATCGTGAGTCTCTCTGTTTCTCTATTCGAACACGACTTTCGTGTGGAGGGGTGGTAGAAGATGTGGTGGAGGTGGATGGGAGGCTCTGCGTGGTGGTGATTTTTGTGAATTCTCAGAGACAGATGATGAGGGGAGGGGACGTGGTGACTGTTGAGTCGACTCACAAATCACCTTGGTGGTGAACCGACAGATGATGAGGGGAGGGGACGTGGTGACTGTTGAGTCGACTCACAAATCACCTTGGTGGTGAACCGACAGATGATGAGGGGAGGGGAGGGGACGTGGTGACTGTTGAGTCGACTCACAAATCACCTTGGTGGTGAACCGACAGATGATGAGGGGAGGGGAGGGGACGTGGTGACTGTTGAGTCGACTCACAAATCACCTTGGTGGTGAACCGACAGATGATGAGGGGAGGGGAGGGGACGTGGTGACTGTTGAGTCGACTCACAAATCACCTTGGTGGTGAACCGACAGATGATGAGGGGAGGGGAGGGGACGTGGTGACTGTTGAGTCGACTCACAAATCACCTTGGTGGTGAACCGACAGATGATGAGGGGAGGGGAGGGGACGTGGTGACTGTTGAGTCGACTCACAAATCACCTTGGTGGTGAACCGACAGATGATGAGGGGAGGGGAGGGGACGTGGTGACTGTTGAGTCGACTCACAAATCACCTTGGTGGTGAACCGACAGATGATGAGGGGAGGGGAGGGGACGTGGTGACTGTTGAGTCGACTCACAAATCACCTTGGTGGTGAACCGACAGATGATGAGGGGAGGGGAGGGGACGCGGGATCTGCTCAGCAATCGCCGCATCGAGACCAGTGCCGAGGCATGGCGGGCAGAGCAGGCAGTGCTGTACCTCCTGTCACCCCTCCCCCCCGCTCCCCTCATTCCCCCCTTCACCCCTCCCCCCCGCTCCCCTCATTCCCCCCTTCACCCCTCCCCCCCGCTCCCCTCATTCCCCCCTTCACCCCTCCCCCCCGCTCCCCTCATTCCCCCCTTGGCTGACAGGCCATCGTCATCCCTTGTGCTATTCGACCCCACGTCAGCCGTGCACCTCAACAACTGCTACAGTGAATCGAGTGCCGAGGCATGGTGGGCAGAGCAAGCAGCGCGGTGCCACCTGTCGCAAGAGCCGTAACTCGGTTTCTCACTACCTCTCTCCCCCCCCGCGCAGGCCATCGTCATCCCTCATGGTCATCGAGCCCACGTCAGCCGTGCAGCTCAACAACCGTTACAGTGAAACGAGTGCCGAGGCATGGCGGGCAGAGCAGGCAGTGCTGGCGCTGCTGTCCGGGGAGTTGAGGGAAGCTGTGGGGGACATTCAGCAAGTGCTGGAGACGCTGGTGCGACTGGATGTGGTGAGTGGAGTGGAGTTGGCTCACACATGCATCTGCAGCGAGGCACGCAGCGAGGCACGCAGCGAGGCACGCAGCAAGGCACGCAGCGAGGCACGCAGCGAGGCACGCAGCGAGGCACACAGCGAGGCACGCAGCGAGGCATGCAGCGAGGCCGTCTGCCGTCTGCTCACTTATTCACCTCCCTCGATCCCTTTGTCCCCGTCTGGTCTACCACCATCCCCCCCACCGGTCTTCCCTCGCTCGGTCACTCTCAGATCATCATAGCCGCAGCGCGCTAAGCAGCTGACTTGAAGCCGCGTGGCTCTTCCACGAGGGGTCTCTGGAGAGTCCTGCCCTCTTATTCACCTCTCACTCACT